AGAGTCAGTCCGGATATCCCCGCCTCTTAAAGGGCCAGTACTAAATTACAAAGGGCTCAAAAATAGTCTTCTGGCGCCATCTCGTGGACACTCTGACACGCTTTGAGTCTGAATTTTACAAATTTAATATAAAAAAAATATTTATAGGAAAACTGTTATTTATAATTACACCAAATAAATATGATAATTATCTGTAATTTCAAACACATCTTTTGGCCAAATTTGAGGATTGTATACTTTTTTATATGCCCCAAATACTCGATACAATTTTTTAATTAAAAATTTTTTAATTCAAAAACTACAAATCTTATCAGGATGAGGACATACAGCAACCATCTCATGAGCAGTAGGCAGCTTTTGACCAAATTTGGGGCTTGTAGCATCTAAGCCCTGGGAGGAGAAGCGATTGCTTTTTTTTGGTCAGAAGCCGGAATAATAATAATAATAATAAGAATAAGTTTAAGTAGCATTACAGTATGTTGGCTTTCTCAAGCCAACATAATAATATTAAGTTTAATAGGATAACAGTAGTCTGGCTTGCTACACAAGCCAGCCTAATAACTTAATTTGTGTTCTGAAAATGAGCAAAGGTCTTGGGAAAACAGAACGGCATGAGGGTTGCTAATCAATAACAACAATTTCATTTTTAGGTGTACTAACCCTTTAATATGCAAGCATTTGCACAGTGTTGTAATATACAATTACTTGGCTTGAAATGGTGTGCTATAAAAGTAGTTTGTGTTAATAGATGTTGGTTTTCTGATTTGATAATGTGTCTGCAGGAAGAGCCGGTGCCTTTCTTGTTCTTTGTGAAAGATGCAGAGCTGGTGTCGTCTCTGGGCTCCTGCATTCAGACATTGGGTCTGGAGACGGAGCAGGTGCTACCGGTGGTGTATCAGCCACAGGCTGTATTTCGTGTGCGGGCTGTGGCTCGGTGCACCAGCTCTCTGGAGGGCCACACTGAGGCCGTCATATCTGTGGCATTCAGCCCGACTGGAAAGTAAGTGGATTAAACTGCGATATTAAATGCTAATTTATTTTTTTAAAAGAATGTAAGATTTTTTGTTCATTATGGGGCTGTTTCTCAGATATCTGGCCAGTGGATCTGGAGACACGACAGTGAGGTTTTGGGATCTGAGCACAGAAACACCACATCACACTTCTAGAGGTTTGTTTATTGCATAGGTGATTTAATAATTCCAGGAATAGTTGGTGACTAAAATATACATTCTCAATTTTTCATTATTTATTTAAAAAAAGCAAACAATTACAAAATGTGTGTATGTTTAGGTATTTTAATAAAGCGCTAATAATTTTCATGGATAAAAATATCTTCCATTTCTGCAAAAACAAATGTGTCATAGCAATTAACCTATAATTAAATGATTTATTTTACTTATCTTTTATATTTAATTGTTTTACTTGTTTTATTTATAAAACCCTAAATAGTCTTTTACCTAATTCTACAAAATTAAAAATTTTTAAAATAACACAAATGTCTGTCTATAAATCTTGCATCAGTTCTATTAATAGTTTGTCTTTAAATTGAATCATTTAAATGTAAAAACAGTGTTTGGCACTGAATTATAGATGAACTCTGTTTCCTCAAATAATTAAAATGCAATATGTATATTCAATTATAGGGCCCAAATATTTAAAATGACCCAAAAAAACTCTTGATACAAGGCATCTGATACTGAAACCATACGTCTTTCTTTCTGTGTAATGTTTTTAAGGACACACACACTGGGTTTTGTCCATTGCTTGGTCTCCAGATGGAAAGAAATTAGCATCAGGCTGCAAAAACAGTCAGGTGAGCATATGCAGTATTGATTGCAAGTCTGAGATTTCTATGTATAGTCTGCTAGATCTAAAATGCTGTATTGTGAAATATTTTCTGTTTTTTTTTTTTTTTTTTTTCAGATTTTCTTGTGGGATCCAGTCACAGGCAAACAGATTGGAAAGACTTTGACAGGACATACAAAGTGGATCACCTGGCTGTGCTGGGAACCTCTCCATTTGTAGGTTTTTTTTTTCTTCTTCAATTAAATTCTAATTTACATCTTCATTTAATTTAGTTTCATCTCTACAGTGAATTCCTAATTAAATTTATTAGACATTAAAATATTTTTCATAACTAAGTTAATGTTAGTTTAATTTAGTTGTTTTACCTTGATTTTATAATTCATTCATTATAATTTTTTACAATATTTAACCTATTTTTTAACTTCTTGTTTAAATAAAATGATTATGTAATAGTTAATAAATTGTCTGATCCCTAATAATTACAATTATGAAATGTTTCATTTAGTATCTTAAATCGTACAATCCTACTACATATTAAATAATTAATACTTATGGTTTCGTTTAATTATAAATTAGACGTCAGTTTCATTTTTATTTATGTAGTTAATAACTCTCCATTGAGTTCTCATCATAAAATGAAGAGATTAGATGCAAAATCCTCTAAATGCCATATTTCTCCAAAATGACCACAATTTATTTTGCTTAATCATTAATGAATTTCTTTAATAATAGTCAGGTTAATGTAGAATGAACATTTTTGTTCAGAACTTTGTTTTATTATCAATTAATTATGCTGTACTACTTGTTAATTGATAAATTCTAATTTTGAAACTTGTACAATATTTGTACTCTCTTCCTAATTTCAGAAACCCAGAGTGTCGCTATTTGGCAAGCACCAGTAAAGACTGTACGATTCGCATATGGGACACTGTTTTGGGTCACTATGACAAGATCCTAACAGGACACACACACTCTGTGACGTGTGTGAAATGGGGAGGCGATGGTCTCCTCTACACATCATCTCAGGATAGGACTATTAAAGTCTGGAGAGCCAAAGATGTAAGATGTGAATCAAACAGAAAGCATACTTACAATGGTGTTTGACTGTGGTGGTGTGAATTTCTGTTGTCATCTACGCCGTAGGGTGTTCAGTGTCGTACACTGCAAGGTCACGCTCACTGGGTGAACACACTGGCCCTCAGCACTGACTATGTCCTGCGTACAGGAGCATTTGAACCCGCGAACGCAACCATAAACCCTCAGGATCTCACCGGATCATGTAGGTTTCAACACAAAACTTTGATAAATGCATTTCTTTGGTTAATTTATGGTGAGACAGTGCAAGCAAAAGGTGTGTGCGTGTGTCTGTTTTGAGCTTTTGTACTTTTTAGCTTGTCATAAAGTTTTTGTTTTTTTTTTAGAATACATCAAAATGACACTTTTGAGTGTTTCTTTTGTTGCGCTTTATCAATTTGTGGCGGCAGATTTAAATTACAATACAGCCATAAATCTCTACTTTATAACCACTTAAATACACATTTACAGTTTTATGCACATCTCCAGTCCAAAATTCACAATGTTTGTTTGTTTGTTCGTTTGACTTTTCACAGCATTTTCTGAATTATGCAATGATAAAAAGAGAGACCCCAATTTTTCTTTTAAAATCTCTGTCCCTAATGTGTCAAATTTATAAATATTTTACCTGACTTCATCTAATTTTTGCTGAAACAAAGTATCTTATTTATTTATGTTTTACCTGTACTAAATAAACAATACAGTGCATTACCTTTTTCCACATTATTTATGTTACAGCCTTATTTCAAAATGGATTCAATTTATTTATTTCCTCAAATTTTTACACACAATACCCCATAATGACAATGTGATAACAGGTTTTTTTTTTAATTGTTGCAAGTTTATTAAAACAATAAATAAATAAATCACATGTCCATAAGTATTCACAGCCTTTGCTCAATACTTTGTTGATGCACCTTTGGAAGCAATTGCAGTCTCAAGTCTTTTTAAATATGATGCCACAAGCAGTCCTTCTCCCTTACTTATACCTATGTGATTTTTCAGGTTTGTAATTTTTATAAAATTTGTAACAATTTCAAAAGATCTTTTTCACATTGTCATTATGGGGTATTGTGTGTAGAATGTTGAGGAAATAAATTAATTTAATCCATTTTGGAATAAGGCTGTAACATAAAAAATGTGGAAAAAGTGAAGTGCTATCAATACTTTACAGATGCACATGTACATAGCATACAACCATATCAATTTCTTAATAACGATTCATTGTACAAAAAAACAAAACATGCAAATTGCAACAACACTTTAAAGAGTTCAAAGTACCTTCTAAAGTTTTTTTTTTAATAAAGTATTTTTAAAAAATTAAATATGAATATTTGTGTTTCTTCCTAGTGGAAGAGATCAAGGAAAAGGCTTTGAAGCGCTACAACAGTGTCAGAGTGAGTAAAAGCAATAAAATGTCAACCAATGTTATACAAGACTGATGTATAAACCTGACCCTGTGCTCATCTGAAGGGTGAAGGTCATGAGAGGCTGGTTTCTGGATCAGACGACTTCACCATGTTCTTATGGAACCCAGCAGAGGACAAGAAGCCGGTCGCTCGTCTAACAGGTCACCAAGCATTGGTCAATGAGGTGCTCTTCTCACCCGACACACGACTCATAGCCAGCGCTTCCTTCGACAAGTCCATTAAGATCTGGGATGGAAAAACAGGAAAGTAAGTGGGGAGATCTTAAATACATCAACTATAAGCATACTAGCATAGATCTGCAATATAGTACATACAGCATGTGAGCAATTGCATACAAATGTCAACTTTGCATTGAAAAGTTTTCACCAAAATATGGAAACCCTTTCTTAATTTGTAGACTTGTATTTTAAAGTACTGTAAAAATTGTCAATGTTTTCAAACAATTGTATTTGATTTACTAAAGTCACACAAGTGGAAATTTTATGTCACATTTGTAAAGGAAATTTTTCATCATAAATGCAAAATTCTAATTAAATCAATCATTTATGTATCTGAATTAAAAAAAAAAAAAAAAAAAATATATATATATATATATATATATATATATATATATATATATATATATATATATATATATATATATTTGGATTAAAGTTTCTAAACACTTAACCCTGTGGTTCAGTGTTTTGATGTTATATTGATGTTTCATTATAATGTTAACAAATACTTTCTCTATGGAATTTCTGGGTTTTGCTGCATGTGGAAGCTCTTTGTCCACCTGAGACACAAGCTGAAACTCATTACTATTTCCACCTAGAAGTAACAATGTGCGTTTTATGACCAGATGTGGTTCGATTTTGTTGAAACCCCTCATGGGACAGTAAAGTGTCCAATGGTTCAGAATCTTGATTGACCTACAAGGTGGGTGAAAAGTAACTAGAAAATGATCATTGTTGTACTGTGGTAATCACAATGAATTATGAAGAGTTACACGCAAATAGCACCAAGCCAAAATTGCATTCTAACCCTAACCATATAGTAAGTACATGTAATTAATTAATGTTACTCCGTATTTAAATGAATTGTTACACTAGAACAAGGACACTTTAAGATCATTTATAACCAAAGTTAATGATAAAGCCCAAATCTCAAACACTTTTGTGGCCTATGTATTATTACCCATGTATTATTTAAACCTATGTATTATTATCTATTTAGAGACTTATTTACACAATAAATTTGTAAATCAAATTGCTGTACATAAACAAGATGGTTAGGATGTGAATATTTTATAAAGATTCAAAAAATAATCACATTAAGTATAATAATTAATTATTTTAGCGAGGCAGTGGCACAGTAGGTAGTGCTGTCACCTCACAGCAAGAAGGTTGCTGGTCCGAACCTCGGCTCAGTTGGTGTTTCTGTGTGGAGTTTGCATGTTCTCCCTGCCTTCGCGTGGGTTTCCTCCGGGTGCTCCGGTTTCCCCCACAGTCCAAAGACATGCGGTACAGGTGAATTGGGTAGGCTAAATTGCCTGTTGCTTATGAGTGTGTGTGTGAATGTGTGTGTGGATGTTTCCCAGAGATGGGTTGCGGCTGGAAGGGCATCCGCTGCGTAAAAACTTGCTTGATAAGTTTTCGGTTCCTTCCGCTGTGGCAATCCCGGATTAATAAAGGGACTAAGCCGACAAGAAAATGAATGAATGAATTATTTTAAATGGAAATAAAAACAACAAAGAATTCAAATGATAAAAAAACATTTTAAGTCATTTTAAGTCTTGATTTAAATGTGAGAATTTAGAAAAATCTATTAAATATTGCCAAGAAAATATTGCCTACTTTTCACTTACACTGTATTTGCTCATTTGGTTATTTGCTGCCCGCTGTTTTATGAATATTGTGAATTCAAGCACTGTTACTTGCTATTTTTTAGTTATTAGTGTAAAAATAAATGATATTTGATTCAGATTGCATTGCCTTTTAATGGACCTACACTGACTCATAGTGCACTTCCATTAGTGTACACTGGGAGGCGCTCAAATCACATCAGTGTCTGCCTATTTTGCTTGTTTGCACATGGCAACAACCCAGACAGTTTCTTCAAATATATCTTGCACAAACAAACACGTCAGCATGTTTTGTCGTAACTCATGAAGGTGAATTAAAGGGCTTTTGTCTGTTTTCCAGATATCTGAATTCACTGCGGGGCCACGTCGGGCCTGTGTACCAGGTGGCATGGTCAGCAGACAGTCGCCTGTTGGTCAGCGGCAGCAGTGACAGCACTCTGAAGGTGTGGGACATCAAAACGGGAAAACTGAACGCAGACCTGCCCGGCCATGCTGACGAGGTAATCAGTGGATTTAGTTCAGAGGTCTTTTAAAAGGTTTTACACAAGGGTCAGGGCTTTGGAATGGCTGGTTTTAGCTCTTCACTGTTCATTTAGTAGTTCATATGTTATTTTTGTATTTGTTTGTATTTTTAATAGCTTTGTTTATATTTTTTACATTTCTCTTATGTGATTTTGACATTTGGAATTTTAGTACTTCAATGTTTTAGTTTTTTATAAAAAAAATGTGTATATATATATATATATATAATGCATTTAAACAACTAAAACTGATTTCTAATAGTGTTTGTGTTTTGCCTAGAAAATGTTTCTCATTTCTATTTTAATTTGATTATGTAATAACTAACAATGAAATGGTTGGACAATGAAACTGAAACTCCTGGTTTTAGACCACAATAATTCATTGGGCCTCCTTTTGTAGCCAACAGAGCATCAGTTCGTCTTGGGAATAACAAATACAAGTCCTGCACTGTGGCCAGAAGTATTTTGAGCAATTATTCTTGCAGAATAGTGGCCAGTAAACTGTGATGCCGGTGGAGGAAAAAGTTTCCTGACTATCTTCTCCAAAACATCAAAGTGGCTCAATAATATATAGATTTGGTGACTGTGCAGGCCATGGGAGATGTCATGTTAATCAAAGCACTCTTGTCATCAGTCTTTCTGTGTGTATTGGTGCTTTATCATCCTGATACACAGCACCATTTTCAGGATTTAATATTCCTCAAGAATGGTTCGGTAATCTTTAGCAGTGATGCGCCCATCTAGCACAAGTTTTGTGTCTAGGGAATGCCATGATATGGCAGGCCAAACCATCACTAATTCACCCCCATGCTTCACTCTGGGCATGCAACAGTTTGGGCAGTAGGGCTGCACAATATTGGAACAATCTGATTTTGCGATATTTTATTTTTCTGTCATCAATATTGCGATATGAATCCAGTTTCACAAGATATTTTGGATAGCACCATTTGCTGGTTTTCTTACAGTATTCAGGTACAGCAATTGAATAATCACAATGAATAAAAATTTGTTTAATTTCTAGTCCAAATATCCAAAAAAAAATCCTAAAGCAAGTCAAATATTTAGTTTTCACAGTCAAAAGAAAAAAAAACAAGCAAAATTATCTGCCAATGGAGGACGTGGAAATATTTTCGCTTTGAAATGTAGATATTTGGACTAGAATCAAGATAAAAGGGCTTTTTTTTGCTTAAATCATATAAATTCAAAATAAATACAGTGATTGAATAAAATTCTGTAGCACCTGGTCAACTATAATTCAGACTCAACATGCGCACATTGCGATATCAATGCTGAAACTATATATTGTGCAGCCCTACTGGGCAGTACGCATCTTTAGGTCTTGCACACTCTAGCTCTCCCGGAAGTGTGGAAAGAAAGTTAAGTTGGACAAGAACAATACATGCTTCATGTTGTCCACAGCCCAAGATTTTCACTGATGGCGCCATTGAAATTGACATTGGCACGAGTGACCAAAGGTTTAGCTCTGGCACCCTGGCCATGCATATTGACCAGAGGAGCTCCCAACAAGTTGAGTTCGGTGACTGGTTTTATGTTTTTTGGATACAATCTGGGACAGGTTACACCCAGACATCCCTTTCAGACAGCTTCCTCTTGCATCCACAGCTACTCTTTTTTTTTTTTTTTTTTGGGTTGTAGGCTGACATTACCCAGTATATGGTGACTCTTGATGCACCACAAAGACTTGTCTTGGTCACAGATGTGCCAGCAAAGACTTCTTTTATGTATAACTATACATTTTCAAACTATTAACAAAAACTAGTCTTAGTGATGCTAAATCAATTTCATTTGGGTGAGAAAAGAATCTTTTGAATGCAAAGTTTTTATGTGTAAACAGTCCTACATTTTTTGCATTTGGTCAGTAATAGGATTCAACATTCTGCTATATTTTCTCAATGACGGGTTTCAGCTGCAAGGACATTCGCTGTGTAAAACATATGTTGGATAAGTTGAATGTTCATTCTGCTGTGTCGACCCCTGATTAATAAAGGGACTAAGCCAAAAAGAAAATGAATGAATTCTGCAATATTCTCTCTTTTAAAAGCACTACCTTGCCACATTTAAGGATATGTTTTGATTTAGGCAACTGCTTTTCCTTCACAGCAGCATGCCTAAACAAATCCTGCATGAACAACACCATTAATCTACTTTTGTTCCTCAGGTTTTTGCAGTCGACTGGAGTCCTGATGGACAGCGAGTGGCCAGCGGAGGGAAAGACAAATGTTTAAGGATGTAAGTGACCTTTTATCCTGCGCAGCTTATTTATTTCCATACCCGCACAATGCCACACCACCTGGTAGAAACACCTGGCATGTCTTATCTTCTTTCCCCTTTCAGATGGAGGAAGTAAACCAGAGAACCCAGCGGCCCTTGGCTCTACACACAACAGCCAATCAGGCGTCTAGAAGCGTCGCCCCCACAGGACAGTAAACAGCAGTGTCAGAGTATTAAGCCGTCACCTATTTGCCCAAAGAAAAACGGCTTCGACAGCATCACAAAAGCTGACATATAATGCTTTCTGATGCCTGATAGCAGGAAGATAAAACGGCCGATACTCCAACTCAAATGAGCAGTTGCCCTGTAGAAGTGCCACCGAACTGACCCACTCTAATCTGTGTAATCTTTCTCACACACACATTCTTTGTAATTAACTTAATCCCTAATGCTGTGATACAGGCAGTGTTAACCAGGTCTGTCTGAGGGCTGGGAGATAACCAGCGGCGTCACAGTGGGCCGTGTTACGTCAGCACAGACGTTTTCTCATTAAGAAAAAAAAAAAAGCAGTTAAAGGGTTTTTATGGGGTCCGTGTTGTGCGTTTGTGGATTTCTTATCTCGGATTAACCACTGTAGGGTGTCAAACGTGCTTTGTTGTTTGTCAAACAGCACATGTATGACGTAAACAGTCTTTAAGAAAAGACGCTGCAGGCGAATATTAAAAAAGTGGACAAAGTTTGCGTCATACTTCCACAGTTGTGAATTGCAAAATTTGCAGTTCAAATATGCAAATGAGGCACTGCTTCATTAAACGCATGTTTCTAGCACAAAAATATGAATTTTGGATTAAGTTAGGTTTACAATACTGTTGTCGACACATTAGAATCTCTTTCATCAGTCCATAATTCAGAAAATTGTAAGAAAAGCCAGAAAGGAATTTCATTTTCACAATCGGTTGTACAATTAAATATTGTATATAATCAGCCATATTATGAATGAACATATCCCTCTGTAAAAGCCCTTTAGAATTTAAATATGAATAAAACTGTAAAGTTTGGTGTATGCAATAAAAAATGAAGAGGTTTTGCTCTAAAAAAAAATAAGTACTGTGCTTACCTACAGACACACAGTGGTATAAAGTAACAAATTCCAAATACTTAAATTGCCATAATACAGTCTTCTCAGAAATTGTAATTTACTAAGTAGTTTTAAAACGGTGTCCTTTTACTTTCCCTTGAGTACTACTTTAGTGCACTATTGGCACTTTTACTCCACTACTTCAACCTGCAGTCACTATTTGTTCTTGTCTATGGGGATTAGAAAAGTCAGTTCTGTGACTCCTGTCCAATCAAATCGCACATAGAGGGTAAATCACATCATAAATGAACTACCTCAAGACATTGGATGACTTATTAATGCAGCAAACTGTTTGGAAGCATTAAAAGTGTCCAAGAAGATGTCCAAAATCTTTATACGCATTGACCCAGAGACTGTTTAGAATTAGATGCATGTCATTCATGAGAATATGACAGTTGTTTACTGTATGATGACCGAAATGGCCTTAAAGACAGTACGTTGACATGACTTCAGATTGATGTTGTAACCCAATGGCTGGCCGACTTCAGTGTCCAACATCCAACCTAAAATCAACCAAACATCAATGCTTAGTGATGTTACAGCTTGACGTTGTGTGTAGGTTACCACTATGACTTCTATAAGATGTTGCATTTTGTTAGCCATACCTGACGAATAAATGTCAGTAGTTGACGTCAATATAATGTTAGATCAATGTTAATTTTGGTCGCTTTCTAACACAACCTAAAATCAACCAAATTTTAACGTCATTTTATGTCGTTATTAGACGTCAATTCGTTGTCCTTAGACACAAGCTAGACCAGGGGTCACCAATCCTGGTCCTGGAGGCCCGGTGTCCCTGCAGGGTTTAGCTCCATCTTGCCTCAACAAACCTTCTTGGATGTTTCAATTGTACCTAGTAAGACCTTGATTAGTTTGTTCAGGTGTGTTTGATTAGGGTTGGAGCTAAAATCTGCAGGGCACCGGCCCTTCAGGAACAAGTTTGGTGACCACTGAGCTAGACGTTGAATTTTGGTCACCTGATATCACGACCTAAATCTAACCTAATATTAACATTTTATGGTGTTGTGTGCCTACTGGCCAATAACTAAATGCACAACAGAATGTTACGTTTACACACACATCCACAAATTGCTTGTAAATGAATCTGCTTTTTACAGTGTAATACTATTCTTGAGTACTTTTAAAACGGCACCTTTTTAGTCATACATTTAGTAACATTTACAACATACTTTTACTCGAGTATGATTTTTCAGTGCTCTTCCCACCACTGCAGACACGTATTGATAAAGAGAGAGAATTGTATTTAGTGGATGTTTTCTTTACATAAGACACTATGAAAAGCCAACAAACTGCAGTTTCTTGCCTTAAGATGCAATTCATTAGAATTGGTCGATATTGGCTACTCAGTAAGACGAGACTCTGAACCTATTTGGTTTATTAAATCTGTGTGACGTATTCAGTTTTGAAGCATACATATCAGACAGACAAAAATAGCGCAACTCGTACAGAATAGGCATCCTTTGTGCGAAATCAATGACATAAAAAGCTTATAAAAAATTGAGCTACTAATAAAAAGCTGCCATTTTATTTTATAAAACAAAAGGAACACAAAACATAAATCTGACCTTGTCTTGATGATGCCATTCGTGCATGCAACTTTTATATGGACACGAATGACTGGGCATGAGATGTGTAACATCAAGATATATCAAAGCACAATACCATTGTTTCCAGTGTAAACTAAGACAAAGGAACATGTGCGTTACATTAATACTTCAATGTTTCTGCGGATTTGGTTGTGCTAGTTTTCATGCCACATACATCAACTATCTCACGACTTCCTCTATAAAAAGCATGTTGGTGAGAAAGAAGACACTTGCACGATTGTACTGACGAGTGCAAACTGATGACACGCTCTGTATGTTTTTGTGCGCAAATAAATATAGTGTAAGCTACATGGTTCGTTCTCATGGCTCAAGCTCCTGGCTTCAACTATACAGACACAGATGGATGGATTAAATCCACTGGGCCAGAGGTCACGGTTCAAAGTCTGGATCTTAGACTTGACTGACATGGCCGACTGTGTTTGGATAGTTCAGTCTCTGTCTGCGCATTTGTTCATCTTCAGTCTGTTCTCCAGACGTTGTTGAGTAGCTTCACAACCTCCTCGTACAGAACAAAGACAATGGCCACGTCTAAACACACTCGGCCCAGTCTAGGAACTGTGCCTTTGTAGAACCTGCAATGCAAAGGCAGAGAAGCAGAAAGGTGAGGTCATATTTACATTAATTAATACAGCTTTTTTTAAGCTGAAGCTGCTAGATATCATTCTTTAACTCAAAATGTCAGATTGAATTTATTCATCAGAAAGAACCACAGGATCAGCTAAAAATAGTCTGATTTTCTACTAAAGACTTTATCCCCATTTTAATTTCCCAATTTAACTTTATTTGGCAATTTTTTATATAAATAATAATTACTAGTGGTAATCATGAGGTGGCCAAACCCTTAGTCAGCCTTAAACCCCATCAAGCCCTAAGAGGAGAAGAAAACTAATATATAAAAATAACAAATATGTGTTAATAATACACTAAAAAAAGAAAAACATTATAAATCAGCACATACACAAAATGTGTTCTTAACCAAATTAAGAAAATTAACCCTTGTAATCTGTTCAAATTGCCTACCCTTTCATTATGTTCATGGCGGTTTTTGCACCATTGACTTCCATTATAACCATATTTTTGATTGCAAAGCAAATGCATGACACCAAATAATCATGCATTCTTGATTGTTTGTGGTTTTCCCTGTTGGGAAGAGATAAAATTCTCATTTTTACTGTTGATTATCAGTTGGCACCATTAACCCTTTAGATACGCCTGTGCAAAAAAGCTTCTGGCTTTATATGGAGTTCTATAGAGTCAAACATCAGGTTTTAATGTGCATACATAAATGTTCTCAGAGCGGAGCTGCTTATTTTGATTTTCCCAGACATATCAAGATAAGTGCGCAAAGGTCTCTCACACCAACAATACTCCATATAAAAGCCAGAAACCTTTTTTTTTTGTACTGTAACTGATAAGCAACAGTAAAATCAGTCAGTACAAATTGTACCTCTTCCAAACACGCCAACAATCAAGAGTGCATGATTATACTGTGTCATGGCTTTGCAATAAAAAAATGGGGCAAAAATGGGTACCGTAATAACAAAAGGGTAGTAAATTTGCCTAGAGTGTATTGTTGAGTTCTTTCAAAGCATTTTCACAATATGTCAAAATAAGATGTCACCAAAAATCATTCCATTCACTGAAAGGCAGAGGACATTGTGACCTAATCAAGACTCTGAATCACCCAAGAGTAGATTAAAACATCCCCAACAGCACACAAGGTTTAAAATATTTTTTATATATTTAAAAAAAGACCTCAACTCTTCGAGACATGAGAAAGTGCGAGAAGATTAAAAAAAGACTTCCAGTGTAAAAAAAATCTGTCTCTAAGCTACCAGTGAACTAAAGGCTGTAACATTAGCATTCAGTTTTGAAAATTCATTAAAAATCGCTGGAACTCCAAAAATACCAATCAACATGCATGCTTCATGGGAAATACTGAAAATGTAAGATAACAGTCAAAAGGCAATAAAAGAAAAATCCTCCAATCTTGGGCAAGAAAACACATTCTGTCATGATCAGCAGGAGCCAGAGAGTACCTTTCACAAACAACATAAACACCCGGAAATATCTTGTTCTATTAAAGAAGTCACCCAGATGTTCATTGGCCAAATCCACAACTTGACAGCAATTTTTCATTTGTGTGAGGACAAAACTAGCCTTTAAAAGAAAAACGTCCCGATTATTTAGTCATTTGTTTGTATATGACTTTATTTAGCTGAAGAGATGATGGATTTAGAGGAAAACATTCTTCAAAAACTGCAAGGATTTGTAAACTAGAGTATTACATGAACATGTATAATAATTATTTGTTTATTTATATATTTATATTGCCTGAAAATGATTGATGGTTTTTGCTAGAGATCTGTCAGGTGGGGTTTTGTGGAAGCTTTTGGCCTATAAATGGTCTATTTGCATTAGATAAAGCAGAATCCTGAAATTTTCATCTATACCTTAAATCTTCATGTACTGGAAGTTGTTGTGACATTTATCTCAGTATGTTGAACTTGAAACAGAATATTAAGTAGGGGGCGGGGCTTTTTGAGCATTATTCCCTCATAGCAAACTAACAGTAAGAGGGGTGTGGTTAAGAATATTGGGGCTGAAGCTGATGTGAAACAGAGAAAGATTGCCACTCCAAACACAGAAGCAAGTAGTCAGAATTTGAATATTAGAAAAACAAACTTTTTTTCAGTGGATTAATTTTTTCATTTAAAAAAAAAAGACTTCAGCTATTGAAAGTCAATCATAAACTTGTCGGATAGCTTGAGGGTAAGTAAATAACAGGGAAATGTACATTTTTGGGTGAACTATCCCTTTAAGTCAAAAGAAAAGAATGCTCAAACGCACAAATCATATTAAGGGAGACAATACATACGCTAGCGGGCCTTCATTCTTCAAAATCTGGAATGCACAATCCATCGTGCTCTTGTAGCGATGAGCCTCCAATCCCTAAAACAAAAAGATTACACTATATTATTCAATATATAATCAAAGTAAATACACACGCAGTAAACAATCTTCTTATGCTAACCTGCATCCGAGTCTTCACCACATCAAGTGGTGTGTTCCCAAAAACACTCGCTGCTCCTGCTGTTGCTCCAAACATGGCAGTAACCAGTGGGTGCATGTCACGAGCAGGGTCATCACCTGAAGGTTGAATTACCATTTTTTGTTAAACACCTATTCTGAAACAAATTAACAAAGGTTATGATCTCATTCTTACCTTTGTACCAATTCCGCAACAAATTCATAACATAAAAGCGTATCGCTTGGTTGCTACCCTGCTTCAGAAGTGTAGCAGTCAGGCCTTGATATGTCCCTC